CCGGGACCCGGTGTCCGGCCTGTTCACCCTGGACACCGTGACCCCCCCGGCTAGCGCGCCCCTTCAGGTCGCTGCGTCTACCCCGGTTGCTGCTGCCTGCTCCTGTCGGTCCCTCACTCACCCGACTCTCCTTTGGCACCACCGCCTAGGTCACCCTGCACTCCCACGTCTGCGTCACATGTCCCAGCACGGTCTCGTCCTTGGTCTCCCTGGTTCGTTCCCTGCTTTTCCCTCCTCCCCCGCCCCACCTTGCACGCCTTGTGTCGAGGGTTGGCTTCGCCGTGCCCCTCACTCCTCCTCGTTTTCCCCTACCGCCAGGCCGCTGCAGACCCTGCACATGGACGTCTGGGGCCCCGCCCCCGTCCAAGGGTCGCGTCGAGAGCGCTACTTCCTTGTGCTTGTCGACGACTTCGCTCGCTACACCACAGTCTTTCCCCTGGAGCGCAAGGCCGACGTGCCTGACGCTCTCATCCCCTGGCTTATCTCAGCTCGTGTCCACCGAGGTCTCCCTGTCTTGCGTCTTCACTCCGACCGTGGTGGCGAGTTTGCCTCAGGTGTCCTTGGTTGCTTCTGTCGTGCGGAGGGCATCGCCCAGACGTTCACCCTGCCGGACTGCCCACAGCAGAATGGGGTCGCTGAGCGACGCATCGGTTTGGTCATGGAGGTGGCTCCACCTCCATGATCCATGCCGGTGCACCCCATTCTCTGTGGCCATTCCCCGAGCGCTACGCTGCTCACCAGCTTAACCTGTGGCCGCACCTTCAGCAGCTGCAGGTTTCGCCGACCCTTCGTTGGACCGGGTCTCCTGGTGACGCGTCTGCGCTCCACGTCGGGGGCTGCCTTGCTCACGTTCGTGCCTCTGGCACGGACAAGCTCACTGCCCGCACCCTTCCCAGCGTCTTCCTAGGTTTCCCCCTTGACGCGTCCGACTGGCACTTTTACCACCCGCCGTCTCACCGGTTCTTTCACTCTCAGGACGTCACCTTTGACGAGTCTGTCTATTTCTACCGTCGCTTCCCCCACCGCGGTCCCCCTGTTACTCCCCCCTTGTTCCTGGTCACTCCTTCCCCGGTGTTCCTGCGGCGCAGTCCTCACCGTCTGCCCTTCCCCAGGTGTCTCCTCCTCTTCCGCCTCTGCTGCCGCCGTCGCCTCTGCCTCTGCAGCCGTCGTCTCCTCCGCCACCGTCGCAGCAGCCGTTCGTTGAGTCTGGAGGTGCTGGCGTTGGAGTGGGTACTAGTCCTTGTGGCCCTGGGGGTGGTCCCGGTGCTCGAGGGGTTTCGGGCTCTGGGGGTGCAGGCGTGGAGTGTTTCACCGGTAGTCGAGGAGCCGCTTGCGGTCCGGATGTCGGTGTTGTGCCGTCGCCGCAGCAGTCCCCGCCGGTGTCAGCCCTTCGCTTGCTCGGCCTTTCGTCCCCTGACCCTGTGTCTGTTCATCTCCTGCCGTCTCCTCCTCTTCCCGTCTACCGCCATGTGTTCCCTCCGCCGGACTCGTCCCTGGCTCGGCTTCCCCCTTGCTCCCCCCTTGTGTCCCCTCCTCTGTCACCTGACTGGACTCCTCCGTCTCACGTATGGTCTTGCCGTCCCTCCCGTGCTCGACCTGTCTCCCCTGTCTCGCGCTCTCACCCTATGTTGCTTCGTTCCCACGCGTCTTGTCCTCCCCTTCTACCGTTGCCCCCTCCGTCCTCCCTTGTCGTTGCTCCCCCCCCTCTGTCTGACTACCTGCGTGCCGCCCGTCCTCTTGTTCGTCGGGTCCTTGCCTCCCTCGTTACTGACCCGTCTGTTCCGGTTTCGAGTCTTGACGCCCTTGTCGCTGCGGTCGCTGACTTTGCCTCTACCCGCCGCCTTGACTACGCCACAGCTCTGGTCTCTGACCCTGCCTGTCCTCCATCTGTCGGGGGTGCTTCTGCCCTCGGCAGTAACGTCCTGGAGGACCACCAGTTTTAGCTTGCTTTCCTGTCCGAGGCTGCTCCCCATCTCTGTTCCATGCTGCTAGTCCCTGAGGGTGATCCAGATGCTTTCGACATCCCGACCCCTCGCACTTACGCTGAGGCGACTTCGGGACCCTGGGCCTCGCAGTGGATAGCTGCCATGGAGCAGGAGATGGCATCTTGGAGATCCACCGGCACCTTCGTCGACGTAGTTCCCCCACATGGGGTGAACGTAGTCGATGGCCGCTGGCTCTTCAAGGTGAAGCGCCCTCCTGGAGAGCTGCTGGTGTTCAAGGCGCGCTACGTGGCTAGAGGTTTCAGTCAGTGTGACGGGGTGGACTTCTTCCAGACCTTCGCTCCGACCCCGAAGATGACTACTCTTCGGGTTCTGCTACACTTAGCAGCTCAGCATGACTACGAGCTTCACTCCCTCGACTTCTCCACTGCCTTCCTTCAGGGCAGCCTACACGAGCAGGTCTACCTGCATCGCCTTCAGGGCTTTACAGGCACCTTCCCTCCTGGGACCCAGTGGCTCCTGGGACCCAGTGGCTCCTGCGACGTCCCGTCTACGGCCTGTGGCAGGCTCCCCGTGAGTGGCACGATACGCTGCGTGCTACCCTTGCTAACCTGCAGTTCTTTCCGTCCTCTGCAGACCCCTCACTCTTCGTTCGTGCCGGCCAGACTCCGTTCTACATCCTTGTTTACGTGGATGACCTGGTCTTTGCCACAGCAGACAGAGACGCACTGGCCTCCGTGAAGGCAGAGCTGCTAGAGAGACACACTTGCACTGACCTTGGAGAACTGCGCCGTTACCTTGGCTTGCAGATCTCTAGGGACAGAGCAGCGCGCACCATCCCCTTAACTCAGTCACACTTGGTGTGCCAGGTCCTTCAGAGGTTCGGCCTTCAGTTCTTTTCTGCACAGCCCACCCCTCTGCCTCTAGACCACAGACTCTCCGCTCCAGTTCTTGAGGAGTCAGTAGAGCCCAGTAGTCCTTACACTGAGCTGGTGGGTTGCCTCATGTACCTGATGACTTGCACTCGTCCAGATCTCGCATACCCTCTCAGCATCCTGGCTCGCTTTGTGGCCACAGGCAGACACCAACCGCAGCACTAGTCTACCGTTAAGAGGGTTCTGCGTTATCATGCAAGTACATCGGGCATGGGGCTAGTGCTAGGAGGACGCATGTCAATGGTCATTACTGGACACACAGACGCTTCTTGGGCAGACGACGCCGAGACACTCAGGTCTTCCCAGGGCTACTGCTTCAGCTTTGGTTCAGGTGCTGTCTCGTGGAGAGGTACCCGCTCTTCGTCTGTTGCCCAGTCCAGCTGTGAGGCCGAGATCTACGCCGGTGCCATGGCGGCACAGGAGCTCCGCTGGCTGTCCTTCTTGCTCACTGACTTAGGTGAGCGGCCCAGCTCTGCCCCGGTTCTGTACGCTGACAACAGGGCCATGATCCTCCTGTGTCAGGAGCCTCGTCTCGAGGGCAGAGCGAAGCATATCCAGCTGCGGTACTTCCTCCTGCGCGAGCTACAGCAGCGCCGTCAGGCTCGCGTAGTACACTTGGCCTCCGGTGCCAACACAGCTGATATCTTTGCGAAAGCGCTTGCGCTTAAAGATCATTAGCGGCACTGTGTACAGCTCGGTCTAGTTCCTGTAGCCTCTCACTTGCTAGGGCCATGCCTTTGTACTGTCCTATATATCTATATGTACTTAGACTGGACTTGTGTCCTCTCCCAGTGGCTGGAGTAGTAGTGACGCCCTGGTCTTGTTCTTGCCTTGCCTGTACTCCTTTTGACTGGTCTTTAGACCCTTGTCTCAGTGGCTGGACTAGTAGTGCCGCCCTGAGCTGCTTGTTCAGGACCTGCCCCTATGCAGTCTAGGGGGTGTGTCAAACATGTGTATCTCTAATGTTTGCATAGACTGTATAGGGTCACCTGTTAGTGGGTACAAGACTTAGGTATATTCGCTTCTCTCGCTCCCTACCAAATTATTCATTCAGTTCTAAGAGTTATAGGCTAGATAAGTGCATCATCATATAGAGTACATTATCATAGTAGAAACCTTGTCTGTATGCCACATTCTAGTGATTGCGTTATTCCGAGAAAATGATATAATCTTTTAAGGGTTGTGTCAGAGATTACCATCACAATTTCATCTTACCATTCATTTATGCATTTCTTTGCAAGTCGTTTCTATCCATCCATCCACCTAAGCTATTGCAAGGAAAACGTTCCATAAAGAATAAGCCGAGATTATCTATATCGAAATCACTTATCATTCAAGACAACCATATACGGAATGTGGAACTGCTGCCTAGGGGGATTCTGGTGTCGCATCCGATCACCATCAGCCACTCCATGTGGTCACTAACCCCATTCCTGTGCTGGTCGTTCGTGGTGCACACTGGCGGGTGCAAGTGAGTGAGATCCGTGCTGTTGGGGGGCTGGGCATTCCTGGGAAGAAATTTGTGGTTCCCTGCTTCCAGCCAATCACATCATCTCAAAGCCCATATCCACTCCCCCATATCCCTGTTCCTGCTTTGGGGGGATACCTTACGTGGCATTGCTCTAAGGTAAGAAAACTGGGCACGTGCGGTAAGGCATCACTATTGCGCCATGTCAGATTCCCTCCTTACATGGTTGACCGAAGCCTGGGCCTCGGCAGGGAGTGTTCACAAAAGCGAGGAAGCTGTTTCGAGCGGCAGTCTACCATCGCTTCAACCGCGTATGAAATCAGGAAGTTATCACTGGTAACCCTACATTTCAGTCAGCCTCTTTTTCGCTATTCGATTTTGTCAATTACAGGAAAATCCGCCAATGAGAAAGTTCGTGTGCACCACTTTGTCTTGGCTTCGTGAGGACACTGAGCACGTAATTCGTGTCAATGAAAACAAGCCTTCCAGACTCGAGTCCCAGATCCAAGGCTCACCACAAACGGCGGATCCATCTATTTGTGCTCTCATCTGACAGGTGGCGTCATCGCAGTACGAGTCGCTGATTTACCGCGGTTTGCAGCCACTTCTAATCCAACGAACCGAACCAACGAGGCATTGTCATTCGTGCCTTCTCCAGCGCCGGCTCCCGCACTCTCATCTCATCGTGCCGATCATTGTGGGCAGCACCAGCACCACACTATCTCAAGCTCCGCCTTGGCTCTTCAGTTGAAGCACACTAGCTTCGCTTCCTCAATCCACTCAACCTCCCTTCAGTCACCAGCAACTTCCGGCTCCAGGGACCACTCCCCACAGCTCATCAAATGGCCAGTCAAGCAGCCACGCTGGTGAGTGTCCACCAATGACGCATTGTGCCCCTTCACGTCGCGCCTAATTATAGCAGCTTAAGGCGCGCCGTTGCTGGCGTGGCTTGCTTCGGCTGCCCACTGTGCTCTGTTTCCCCCATGCCTCTCCTTCGTCTTCCCCCAGATGGGCTCCACACTCCCCGCCCTGCGCCTAGCTGCGGCGCCTCCGGCGTCCTCAGCGCGGGTGGCAGCGTCGCCTGCGCGCGCGGCGCTGAGCACCAAGGTGCTGGAGAGCAAGTCACTGGGCGAGCTGCGACAGCTGGCGAAGGAGCGTGGCATGCGCGGCGACACCAAAGCGGAACTCGTCAAGCTCCTCGCGTACGTCATCGACCTTAAACTCGCTGTTGACGGATTAAATCGTCTAGTTCTGCCGTACTCACGCCACCCCGCCATGTCTATCCACGACTGCCCGTTCTCTCGCTACCTCGTGTGCAGCTTCTCTGACCATGCTCGTACTTTGTCCCTTCTCTCTCTCTTGCTGCAGGTCCAGCTACGCCGCGGGTAACGGCGCGGCGGCGGCAAAGGCGCCTGTTGCGGCGAACCCGCAGTTGAAGAAGCAGCTGGAGGCCATGCCCATGGCGCAGCTGCGCGCGCAGGCGCGCACCAAGGGCGTCTACGGCGGCAGCAGGGCCGAGCTCGTCGCCGGTCTCCTGTAAGTCAATTCTGTGCGCTCGACCCCCCACTGCCGACCCATCCACCTCCGCGCGTCTCTCGCATCGCTTCTCCCCACGAATTCCTTGAAAGGAGTGTCATTTCTCTTCTGCCCCCCTTTAATCTCTCCCCTGCATCAGCGCTGCTGGCGCGGCGCCAGCAGCCGCCACCCCGTCAGCTCCCGCCTACTTGAACGGCGGGGTGTCTTCCGCCCCTGCTGCGGCGGCGCCTGTGGCCGCCGTGGCTGCTTCGTCGGAACTGGCGCGGCAGCTACAGACGAAGCCGCTGGCGGTGCTGCGCGCGCTGGCGCGGCAAAAGGGGCTGCGCGGCAACACCAAGGAGGAGCTCGTCGCCGCCCTCGTGTAAGTCGCCGCGCGCCTCGCGCCGATCGTCCCGCCCCGAAAGATAGCCACACGTGCTCCGCCACGCGCGCGTGCCCCCATGGGTGACTTCCGCGTGTCGTATTCTATGCTCGCGTCGCTGCGTACCGTCACCAGAGCTTCACGCCTGCGCATTCGTTGCTAACGCCCCAGCACGCCCCTTCCTCCCGTCCTTCACCTCCCCCCAGTTCCGCGTCTCCCTCAGCCGCCGCCGCCGCACCCGCTGCTTTATCCTCGATGCCCGCCGCCTCTCCTGCCGCTGCTGCTCCCGCTTCATCCGCCGCGCCCGCCGCGCCCGCCGCCGTGAACGTGAGCGCGCAGGCCCTGGCGCGGCAGCTGCAAACGCGGCCGCTGTCCGCGCTGCGCGCCATGGCGAACGCCAAGGGCATCTCGGGGGCCGCGGCGCCGAAAGACCAACTCATCCGCGCACTCGTGTAAGAAACCACGTGGTGATGGGGGAAAGGTTTGCTCTAGATGGGATGCGTGATGGGTCTCACACGTCCGTTGTGGCAAGTACGAGTGCCGAACCCTGCTCGCTTGGTCCGCCATTCCGCGCACTCCCACCCCCTCCAAGCTCCCACACCCACCAGCGCTATGCGCTATTCGCTCACCCCCCATCCCCCCTTGTCCTCCGTGCGCTGCCCGCAGCGCCGCGGCCACGACGACGGCGGCGACGGTGACGGAGGTGAAGGCCGCGGCGTCTGTGCGCGCGTCGGAGCTGCAGAGCAAGCCGCTGTCGGAGCTGCGCACCATCGCGCGCGCGCGGGGCATCCGCGGGGACACCAAGGCGGAGCTCGTTAAACTGCTGTACGTGCCGATCGCCCCCGTCTCCCGCGCTTCCGCCCGTCAATCTCCGTCCTCTAGAAACCCCCCGCCGATGTTTCTCCTCTTTCTGACCCCTAACCTCCTCACCCCTCCCCCCATCCCCTGCTTCCCCCCCCCCCCCCCCCGCGCGCTTCCCCCCCCCCACCCAGCACGGCGGAGGACGTGGTGCTACCGCCGCTGCAGAGCGCGAGCATGAGTCTGCCGTTCCAGTCCGACCTGCCCGCGGGCGGCACCACCGCCATCCAGCCCGTGCAGGTGCGCCCCTCGCCGCCCCTCCTCCGCCTCCTCTCCTATCCCCCCCCCCTTTCTCCCCTCCCTTCCTAAACCCGCTACCCGCCTGCCTGCCTCCTTCCGCTCTTCCCCAGTTTCCCCCATCCTTCCCTGTCCGCCTTGCCCTCTTCCATACATATCCCCTTCACCTCATCCCCCATCCGCTTCCCCCCCCCCCCAAGCAGGCGGCGTTAGTGGCGACGCAGTCAGCGGCGATGAGCGAGGCGATGGAGCTGCTGCTGGGGCGCGCGGAGGGCGTGGCGGAAGGCAGCGTGGCGGAGCAGGCGGCGTTCCTGCGCAACGTGCTAGTGGCGGGCATTGGCATCGCCGCGCTGCCCCTTCTCCTGCCCGTGCAGATGTCAACCACCGTCGTCGCCACTGCACCCTCCGCCACCGCCCCTGTGGTAGGCGCCGGAATGGGAGGGGGATAGTGGGGGGGAGGGATCACGGGGGAAGGGTGAGGGGCAAGAGGGTATGGCAAGTTAGGAATGAGGATGAAGAAGGAATGAGGGAGAGTAATGTTGATCGATCACATCAGGCCAATCAGGAACTGTGAGTCTGTGTCGAGATGCGCCATTGGTCCACCTGCATGAGAGAGTGGAGGTGGTGGCTGTAGAGCAGGCTGCACAAATGCAATGAAAGCACCTCCAATCGAACCCCGTGGAGAGGGCATCACTGGAAGGATCTTCCCTCACTGCCGAGCACTCCCGTTCTCCATTCCCCTTCCCTTATATCCCCAACCGTAGGTTGTGCCACCGCCTCCTGCCGAGCCTGCCCCTGAGGTTCGGGAGCTGTCGGCTGAGGAGTTCTGCGCATCGCTGCCGGCGTCCCTGCTGTCCCCACAAGCCGCCAAGTTCTGCCAAGCCGTCAAGGACATTGGCCTCTGAGCGCACGCCTCCTCTCGACCACCCACCCACCCTGCCATGCCTGCTCACCTTGTGCCCTGTGGGTCTGTTGGTAGCACCAGCGCCGCAGCCCAGTGAATTGTGTGTGCTCTCTAGTCCCATGTGGCTCAAGCCTGTGGGTATTCAATCACCCCCCCCTTTCTTGTGATGTGCCCGATGTACTTGGTAGTGTTGAAAAATTCAGCAGCAGCACAGTTTGGAGTGCAGTGTGTGACTGATTGAAGCTTGTTGAGAATGTTATGCCCTATAATGACAATGTCCTTAGCACCATGTAGCACTGGTCAGCACAGTACAGTTTCCCCACATGCCTGAAATGTCAAACATGTGTATCTCATATACTTTGCATAGACTGTATAGGGTCATTTCTTAGAGGGTACAACATTTAGATATATTCCTGTACTCTCTCTCTTATTATCATTCATTCAGTTTTTGAGATGGTATCAGCAGTAGGTAGGTCACGCTCACCCACGCTTCCGCTCTAGGACCTACCCGCCCTAGTTGCGCCCGCCCTAGCCGTGCCTGCCCTAGCCGCGCCCGCCCTAGTCGCGCCCTGCGCGCCACCTCCCTTCGGCCCTCGTGCCCGTCCTAGCGGCCCCGTCGCCCGTGCCCGCCCTAGCGCCCGTCCTAGCCGGCCTAGCGCCCCGCCCTAGCGGCCCCTCCTGCCCGTCCTAGCGCCCGCCCTAGTGCCCCCCCCTCGTGCCCGTCCTAGCGCCTGCCCTAGCGGCTCCTCGTGCCCGCCCTAGCGCCCGCCCTAGCGGCCCTCACGCTCGCCCTAGCGCCCCCTCCCGTCAGTGCCCGCCGCTAGCGCCTCACCAGCGGCCCGCCCTCGCGGCCCCCCCCGCGCCTGCTCTGGCGGCCCCCCGTGACGGCCCCCGCGCCTGCCCTAGCGGCCCCCGTGCTACCCTAGGGGCCCCCGCTCTAGTCCTCCTCGGCCCCTGCGCCCGCCCCACGGCCGCCCTCGCGACCTCCGCGCCCTGCCCGCTCGGCCCCTGCGCCCGTCCCAGCCGACCCCCGCGCCCTGCCCGCTCGGTCCCTGCGCCTCTCCCAGCCGGCCCGCGCCCGCCCCCGCCGGCCCGCGCGCGTCCCAGCCAGCCTCGCGCCAGTCCCAGCCGGCCCGCGCCCGTCCCAACCGGCCCCTGCGCGTCCCTGCCGGCCCGCGACCGTCCCAGCCGGCCCCGCGCGTGTCGACCGAGGTTTCCCTGTCTTGCGCCTTCACTCAGACAGTGGTGGCGAGTTTGCCTCAGGTGTCCTTGGTCGCTTCTGTCGTGCGGAGGGCATCACCCAGACATTCACCCTTCCGGACTCCCCACAGCAGAATGGGGTCGCTGAGCGACGCATCGGCTTGGTCATGGAGGTTGCTCGCACCTCCATGATCCATGCCGGTGCTCCCCATTTTCTGTGGCCGTTCGCCGTGCGCTACGCTGCTCACCAGCTTAACCTGTGGCCGCACCCCCAGCGGCCGCAGGTTTCGCCGACCCGTCTTTGGACCGGGTCTCCTGGTGACGCGTCTGCGTTCCACGTCTGGGGCTGCCTTGCTCACGTTCGTGCCTCCGGCACGGACAAGCTCACTGCCCGCACTCTTCCCTGCGTCTTCCTAGGTTTTCCCCTTGACGCGTCCGACTGGCACTTCTACCACCCGCCGTCTCACCGCTTCTTTCACTCTCGCGACGTCACCTTTGACGAGTCCGTCTCCTTCTTCCGTCGCTTTCCCCACAGCGGTCCCCCGGTTACCCCCTTCGCCTGCTCGGCCTTCCTTCCCCCGACCCTGCGTCTGTTCCTCTCCTCCCGTCTCCTCCTCTCCCCATGTACGGCCCTGTGTTCCCGCCGCCTGACTCGTCCCTGGCTCGTCTTCCCCCTTGCTCTCCCCTTGTGTCCCCTCCTCTGTCTCCCGACCCGACTCCTGCGTCTCACGTCTGGTCTCACCGTCCCTCCCGTGCTCGTCCTCTCTCCCCTGTCACCCGCTCTCACCCTATGTTGCTTCGTTCCCACGTGTCTCGTCCTCCCCTTCTCCCGTCCCCTCCTCCGTCCTCCCTTGTCGTTGCTCCCCCCCCTCTGTCTGACTACCTTCGTGCCGCCCGTCCTCTCGTTCCTCGGGTCCTTGCCTCTCTCGTTACCGACCCGTCTGTTCCGGTCTCGTGCCTTGACGCTCTTGTCGCTGCGATCGCTGACTTCGCCTCTACCCGCCGCCTTGACTACGCCACAGCTCTGGTCTCTGACCCTGCCTGTCCTCCGTCCGTCGGGGGTGCTCCTGCCCTCGGCAGTGACGTCCTGGAGGACCGCCAGTTCGAGCTTGCTTTCCTGTCCGAGGCTGCTCCCCATCTCTGTTCCATGCTGCTAGTCCCTGAGGGTGACCCAGACGCTTTCGATATCCCGACCCCTCGCACTTACGCTGAGGCGACCTCGGGACCCTGGGCCTTGCAGTGGATAGCTGCCATGGAGCAGGAGATGGCATCTTGGAGATCCACCGGCACTTTCATCGACGCAGTTCCCCCACCTGGGGTGAACGTAGTCGATGGTTGCTGGCTCTTCAAGGTGAAGCGCCCCCCTGGAGAGCTGCCGGTGTTCAAGGCACGCTACGTGGCTAGAGGCTTCAGTCAGCATGAGGGGGTGGACTTCTTCCAGACCTTCGCTCCGACCCCGAAGATGACTACTCTTCGGGTTCTGCTACACTTAGCAGCTCAGCGTGACTACGAGCTTCACTCTCTCGACTTCTCCACTGCCTTCCTTCAGGGCAGCCTGCATGAGCAGGGTCTACCTGCGCCGCCGTCAGGGCTTTACTGGCACCTTCCCTCCTGGGACCTAGTGGCTCCTGCGGCGTCCCGTCTACGGCCTGCGGCAGGCTCCCCGTGAGTGGCACGACACGCTGCGTGCTACTCTTGCTGACCTTCAGTTCTTTCTGTCCTCGGCAGACCCCTCACTCTTCGTTCGTGCTGGCCAGACTCCGTTCTACATCCTTGTGTACGTGGACGATCTGGTCTTTGCCACACCTGACAGGGACGCACTGGCCTCCGTGAAGGCAGAGCAGCTGAAGAGACATGCTTGCACTGACCTTGGAGAGCTGCGCCGTTACCTTGGCCTGCAGATCTCCAGGGACAGAGCAGCGGGCACCATTATCCTGACTCAGTCACACTTGGTGCGCCAGGTCCTTCAGAGGTTCGGCCTTCAGTTCTCCTCTGCACAACCCACCCCTCTGCCTCTAGCCCACAGACTCTCCGCTCCAGTCCCTGAGGAGTCAGTAGAGCCCAGTGGTCCTTACGCAGAGCTGTGGGGTTGCCTCATGTACCTGATGACTTGCACTCGCCCTGATCTCGCATACCCTCTCAGCATCCTGGCTCGCTTTGTGGCCACTGACAGACACCGACCGCAGCACTGGTCTGCCGCTAAGAGGGTTTTGCGTTACCTTGCAAGTACATCGGGCATGGGGTTAGTGCTAGGAGGGCGCAGGCCTGTGGTCCTTACTGGACACACAGACGCTTCGTGGGCGGACGACGCTAAGACACTCAGGTCTACCCAGGGCTACTGCTTCAGCCTTGGTTCAGGTGCCGTCTCGTAAAGAGCTACCCGCTCTTCGTCTGTTGCCCAGTCCAGCTGTGAGGCCGAGATCTACGCTGGTGCCGTGGCGGCACAGGAGCTCCGCTGGCTGACTTTCTTACTTACTGACTTAGGTGAGCGGCCTAGCTCTGCCCCAGTCCTGTACGCTGACAACAGGGCCATGATCCTCCTGTGTCAGGAGCCTCGACTCGAGGGCAGAGCGAAGCATATTCAGCTGCGGTACTTCCTCCTGCGCGATCTTCATCAGCGCCGCCAGGCTCGCGTAGTACACCTGGCCTCCGGTGCCAACACAGCTAATATCTTTACGAAGGCGCTTGCGCCTAAAGATCATCAGCGGCACTGTGTACAGCTCGGTCTCGTTCCTGTAGCCTCTCACTTGCTAGGACCTTGATTTTGTACTGCCCTATATATATCTATATGTACTCAGACTGGACTTGTGTCCTCTACCAGTGGTTGGACTAGTAGTGCCGCCCGGGACTTGTTCTTGCCTTGCCTGTACTCCTTCTGACTGGTCTTTAGACCCTTGTCTCTGGGTTTAGGGTTTAGGGTTTAGGGTTTAGGGTTTAGGGTTTAGGGTACGACTCGCGGCGACACTGATGCGAGGGCCGGCACTCGAGTGGATCGGCGGTAACAGCACCTTCATCCACGGCGAAGCCACGTGGCAGCAGTTCCGCACTGACCTGCTGAAACGTTTCGAGCCGATAAATACGGGTTTCCTTGCCCGCGAAAAAATTCATCGCCATCGACAGTTCGGGAGTGTAGCACAGTACACACAGCAGATGGAAGAATTGTATAACCGCATTCCCGACCTGACCAAAGCGGAAAAAGTACAATCGTACCTCGCCGGGCTGAAGACTGAAGTCAAACGACAAGTGGTAGCGACAAACTATGCGAGCTACAGTGACGTCGTATCGGCCGCGGAACGCTTCGACATGGTCAACGCAGGGACACGACGGACGCACGTCGGCAGTACGCGACAGGGCGACCGCTCGGCTCACACCACGTTCGCCGACCCGATGGAAGTCGACAGGTTCGAAGGGCGGCCACGTCCAAAAAACACCAACTACACGTGTGATTTTTGCGGGGTGCCGGGTCATCGAATCTTCGACTGCAAGAAAATGAAAGCCGCACGCGCTGAGTATCAGGCACGCAACCGTGGCGGAAATCCTTCGGCCAATCAGAAGCCAAAAAATGGAGCTCGCCAGTGATTGCGAATCTAGCTGACGAAAAAGAAAAGATCCGAAAGCGGCCGCGGACTTCCGGAAAAATCAACTTCGGCGCAGCTGATTCGACGCGAGCAGGAGAAAATGATGGGGAAAAATCTCCACCCCACGACCAGTCTTTGCCAGAGGAAATCGCCGAGGACAAATCTAACTCCGCGAAAAAGGACTCTGCCAAGACGGGGAAACTCCTTGAAGACCCAAGAAATTATAAGGATTCGTTAAAGTTATCTTATAAAGATGCTTTGATGAAAACTTGTAATTCTCGAGGGGCGAGAGCCTTGGAGAAATTTCGGGAGGGACTCCAGAAGAAGCAGAAAATTGTGGAGATCGTACTGGTACCGGAGAACTTGGGGACCAAATTAAGGAGTGTGGAAAGAAGCCGACCTTTCCACAGAGTCAACATCCTCTCCCGACACCAGCCCACAGCGACTATCCGTTCCCAAGGGAAGACGTCAGTGGAGCTGAAGCAGCTCAAAAGGAACCTAGGGGTCTACAAGAAGCTGCAAAAACCCCGAACTCCTTCTTCGGATGCATCCAACTCGGCAACTTCGTCAACGACACGAACAGTCGTCACGGAAACTCCGGGCCCAGGAGAAGAGCCTTTCTCCAAGCAGCCTCGGCTAGCTGCCAGCTCAGGAGTAGGAAGCAACGACTATTGGGATGTACCCTACGACCCAATCAATGAAACTATCTTTGGGTACTCCGAGCAACACCCGCCCCTCGTTCTCAAGGTCATCTGCAAAGTACGACGCCTCCAAGCACTCATGGACAGCGGAGCATCGCACACCGTATGCGACAAGGCAACCATCGACCGACTTCGAGAAGAGTACAAGCCATCAACGTTTTCTGCGATGATGGTGGACGGTAGCAAGTTACCAGTGTATGGTGAAGCAGTGCTACACCTATAAATCGGTCCACTGCGTTGGAAACCTACTCTTCCCATCACCAACATAAAAGGGCTTGACCTGATCTTCGGGCGAGACTTCCTCAAGAAATTCAACCCTGAGATCAACTGGGTAAACCGCACCGCAAGCATCTACAACAAAGGAGGGAGAGTCCGGCTACCCAACTAGGACGATACAGGAGATATCCCAGTGGAGACACTCGCCAGATTCGAGAAGGATGTGAAGCGAATCGACACCGGGTTCCTGGCGATAGCAGCAGTGGTGGAGAATGACGAAGAGAAAGCCTCGGAAACTCCAGAAAAAATCAAGGACTTACTGAAGGAGTTCCAAGACATTCTTCCCGACAACCTCCCGGACAAACTACCGCCATACGGAGCGCACCAACACGAGATCGTGGAGGAGCCAGGTTCGAAGTCGACCTTCCGAGCATCATATCGGCTAAGCCCTACATAACTAGCCGACATGAAGAAGCAGATCGAGTATCTCCTCGCCAAAGGACTCATCCGACCATCCACTTCGCCATACGGTGCCCCTGTGCTCTTCACACCGAAACCAGACGGAAGACTGCGCATGTGCATCGACTACCGAGCTCTCAATAAGCAGACCATCAAGAACAAATATCCGATACCATGAATCGATGACCTGCTTGACAAGCTTCGGGGAGCTACGGTATTTTCAATACTAGATCTGCGGTCCGGATACTGGCAGATAAGAATGGCGTACAATTCCGTTCACAAAACTGCTTTCCGAACTCTGTACGGATCGTACGAGTATTTGGTCATGCCGTTCAGACTCACCAACGCACCTGCAATATTCCAAGCAGAGATGAATCATATCCTACGCCCACTCTTGGACGAATGCGTGGTGGTGTACCTGGACGACATCCTTATCTACTCGCGCGACATGCAACAATACGTCGAGCACCTGCGACGCGTCTTCGAAATTCTTCGATGAGAACGCTTCTACGTCAAACTATCCAAGAGCGACTTCGCCCTCGAGAAAGTCCAATTCCTCGGACATATCGTAAGTGCTCAAGGAGTTCACGTCGACCCCAAGAAAATCGAAGTCGTGCGTACGTAGAAGACCCCCGAGAACGTGAAGGAGTTACAGCAGTTCCTTAGCTTCGCTAACTACCAAAACAGGTTCGTGCCACAATACGCGAAGATCGCCGCGCCACTCACGAATCTGCTAAAGAAGAACACGCCCTATAAATGGGAGCTACAACACAAGGAAGCCGTGGAGCAGCTGAAACAAGCACTCACGTCCGCACCCCTACTCATCTTGCCAGACCCCGAACGCGACTACGTTATCGAAGCTGACGCCAGCGACCAGGCAGTGGGAGCAGTCTTGATGCAAGACCAGTGGAATGGCCTGCAAACAATTGCCTACCTCAGCAAAAAATTACACGGAGCAGAACTCAACTACCCGATACACGACAAGGAGGCCCTTGCTATCATCATCGCCTTCAAAACGTGGAGATGTTATCTCGAAGGGCGCAAGACGACAGTCTACACCGACCATTGCAGCCTAAAATATTTGAAGACGCAACCAAGCCTCTCTAGGCGGCAGGTCCGGTGGATTGACTTCCTCGAGACACACTTCCAATACGACATCGTGTACAAGCCCGGCCACAAAAACAAAGCAGACGCGCTTAGCCGGCCTGCACACGTTGCCGCCATCCAAGTTGAAGGGATGAATTCACTCCTCAAGGGACTCTTCATGCACGGGTATACCATCGACTCAAAAATTCCCTTGGCAGAAAAGCAACATCTGCTACAGTGGGACAACGACATCACGTACCGGAAAGGATCCATGAAGATATGGGTACCTAATTACCCTCCATTGCGCCAATTACTACTCGAAGAATGCCACGACGTCTTGTATGCGGGACACTTCGGTAGTAACAAGACGCTCACCGGTATCGCCAAACACTACTACTGGCCCCATATCGCAGATGACGTACATAAATTTGTCACCTCGTGCACTACATGTCATCGGATGAAGAGCAGCAAGCAGAAAAAGGCGGGTCTGCTACAGCCTCCTTCCTGTCCCAGAACAGGCATGGCAAGTGGTAAACCTAGACTTCATCACCGGGCTACCCACTACCACAAGCGGTCATGACGCGATCCTCGTCGTCATTGACAAGTTCTCCACCATAGGACACTTCATCCCGACACACACCACAGCACGCACCGAGGAGACAGCACAACTCTTTGTTCGCTACATCATCTCACAACACGGCATTCCGACCACACTCATCTCCGACCGAGACCCTATGTTCACCAACAAATTCTGGAAAGAACTGATGTCACTGCTCGGGACCAAACTCGCCATGTCATCCGTCTACCATCCGCAGACAGATGGACAGACCGAGCGCCTCAACCAAATTGTGGAGCAACTCCTCTGCGCAGTCTGCAAGGACGACAACTCCAAATGGGACTTGCATCTGCCCATCCTGGAGTTTGCGTACAACAATGCTACTCACGCCACTACTGGACAGACGCCGTTCTTCCTCTGTTACGGACGCCACCCACTCATACCTCAACAACCAACCATACCAGCCACAGTCCAACCCGCTCATGATTTCATCACGACCATGCACAAACTTTGGGATCGGACCCACAAGCGCCTTCTCGATATTCAGCAACAACAGAAGCGCCAAGCCGATCGCCACCGCACAGACCACACCATCACCATGGGAGACCGAGTACTACTCGACACACGCAATCTTGACATCAGCCATCTCCCATCCAAACTGCAACCTCGCTTCTGCTGGCCTTTTCTCATTGAAGCACAAGTCACTCCTGTTACCTTCCGCTTACGCCTGCCAGCTACCTGGAAGATTCACAACGCCTTCCATGTCCAACTCTTGAAGCCCTACCGAGATCCCAACACGGTCTTCTCTGGACGTCAACCGCCACCGCCGCCGCCCGTCCTCGTCCATGATGAACCCGAGAACGAGGTCGAGTCCGTGCTTGCTCACCGTCGTCGACGGAATGGCACCGTGGAGCTTCTCATTCGTTGGAAGGGTTATGATCCTTCAGAGGATAGTTGGATCTCTCAATCCAAGATGGATCACGCTCGTCGTCCTCTTCGCGACTACCTTGTTAAGCAGGGTGTCACGTCTACCACCCAGCTTTGAGGGGGGGAAGTGTGAGAGTACGACCCCGTTCTATTCCTTTCTCCTTTCCATTTTTCATCTTGATCCATTTGGTTTTTATCTCATTCCATTTGGATTCCTATTTCTCCTTTTCCATAACCCTTTGGTTTATCCTGTTATTATTGTTATATCACCGACCAGGCTCGGGATGTACTGGTGCGCTATATCTAGCGTAATCCTGCCGTAATCCCTTAAAGCCAATAGCCTCGCGTGGCTATACGCTGGGTGATTCTATCTTCTAGAAGGGTCTATTCCCTTGGGATAAGATAAACCTGGTTACCTGATGTACTTTGGAAGTATAAAAGCGCATTGTACTGATTGATAGTGCAACCTTTCCTCGAGATATTCGATCCTGTAACACTTGCCGTTGGCCGTTGCGTCCGCCCCTAGCCGGCCCTCTGGCCGTTCGCGCTCGCTCCTAGCCGGCCCCCTGGCCATCGCGCCCGCTCCTAGCCGGCCCCCTGGCCGTTCGCGCCCGCTCCTAGCCGACCCCTCCTAGCGCCCGCCCGGCCCCCCTCGATCGCCCGCCCGGCCCCTTCACAGCGCCCGCGCGGCCCCTGCTAGCGCCCGCCTGGCCTGTTGCGCCCGCCCGTTCCACCCAGCGCCTGCCCGGCCCTGATACCAGCCTGCCCGGCTCCTGTGGCTACGTGGCTTCTGCTCGGCACGGTTCCTCGGGTCTCCGGCCTCGTGTCTTCTGCTTGCCAGCGCTGGAGCGTCCTGCAGACGTCTCCCTGGAGCTATGCTGTTGTATGCCTGTGCCGCTGTATCGTGTGGAGCTGTGCCGCTGTGTCCCTGTGTCGCTGACCTTGCACGATGGCTGACTTCGTACTCCGCTTGGACGCTGAGGGCCATGCGGTTGACTTCGCCGCTTGGCTGTCCGATCTCTGCCGGCACCTCACAGGTCAGCGCCAGGATGGGTACTCTTTGGTTCTCCATACTGATGGCTTGCTCCCCCGCCCCCCTGCGCCTGCTCCCCTCCTTGCTGACCCCACCTCTGCTGAGCGTGAGCCTTTCTCTGCTACTGCACTTGCCTGTGCCGTCTGGGACTCTCGCGATGCAGTTGCTCATGTCGCTATCAGTCACGCCCTCCCTGTGTCTAAGCGTTCGTGTTTTGCTACAGTTGATACAGCCAAGGCTTACTTAGAAGCTGTTGTTGCTCGCTATTCCACGCCTGCCTCTGCTACTGCAGGTCGCCTGCTCTTCCCTATGATTTTCCCAGACCTTGCTTCCTTCCCTACTGTTGCTGACCTTGCCACTCACCTGCACGCCCTAGAGTCTCGCTACCGCACTGCTAGCACTGCTGCCCAGCTCATTGCGCTCCCTCCCCCCTTCTGCATGACCCTCTACTTTATCGCCATGCGCCTGCCTGACCGCCTTGCTAGTGCACGCGATCACCTCCTTAGCCAGCACCCGGGTGATCTCACCCTGCCAGCCTTTGTCACCGCCCTGACCGAGATCGAGACTCGCCAGTGCACTATCGCTCAGTCGAGCGGTGCGCTGGCAGTCTCTATCTTTCACGGCTGTGCCCCCTCCCAGTGCACGTTTACAGACGTTTCGACAGCGGTCGCCACTGCGACCCCTCTGACCGAGACTGCAGTTGCAGTACACCCGCAGCAGCGCTCGTGCCGCGCCGGTCGTGGTGGTGGAGCTGGTTGTGGTAGTGGTGGTACCAAGGACAGTGGTTCTACTGAGGGGACTGCCTCAGCTAGTTAGGCGCAACAGCAGTCGCCCCAGCAGCAGGAGCAACTGCAGCAGCCGTCGCAGCAGTCGCAGTCATCGTAGCAGCTGTCCCAGCCCCAGCCGTGGGCTCGCCTCACCCCGGGTTGGCCCGGCACCTCCGTAGGTGGTGGCCGTGGTGGCGGCCCGCGCAGCATGGCGTCTACTGGCAGCTCCGTTGGTGTGACCTGCCAGTACCAGCTTCAGACCGGGCCTCTCCGCGGCACTCTGTGCCGCTGCCCGCACCCGACCGCCCGCTGTTTCCGCCGCCTCGACGATCTCTTTCGTCGTCGCTTTGGGCCGGCCCCGGACCTCCCCGACTGGCACAGCCTGATTCGCCAGGGCGTGCCGATCTTTGATTTGGATATGGATCAGATAGGTGCTGCTTTGCATGCCTTGTATGCTGACGCTTCTACTGTTGCTGGATCTTATTACCCTGTGTACTCTAGTTTAGGCGAAACACCCTTGTGTAGCTTAGCCTCCCCTGCTGCGTCAGGCGTAGGACTGCCTAGTTTGCCTAGCCTAGTTTCTGCACCAGCTCCGTTCCCGGCCTCCGCTACCGCCTCGCTGTCCTTCACTCTCGACTCCGGTGCTTCTGCCTGTTTCTTCCGCGACCGCTCCACGCTCACGCCGCTTGCTGCGCCTGCTGTTGTCGCTCTCGCTGACCCCTCCGCGGGTCCTATCGTCGCTCGCAGCTCCACTTCCCTTCCGTGTCCAGCCGTTCCCTCGGGCTCTCTTACAGGCCTCCACGTTCCCTCGTTCTCGAGGAACCTGGTTGGTGTCGGCCGTCTTCAGGACCTCGGCGTCGCCACGACGTTCCCTGGGCACGAGCGGTTCGCTGTCTGTACCGAGGCAGTCTCAGGTTCCCCCCTTGCGACGTTCCCCCGGGACCCCGTGTCTGGTCTGTTTACCCTCGACACCGCTTCCCCCCCGGTTGGTGCGTCCTCCCAGGTCGCTGCAACTTGCTCGTGTCGGTCCCTCACACACCCGTCCCTTCTATGGCACCACCGCTTAGGTCACCCTGCACTCCCGCGCCTGCGTCACATGTCTCAGCACGGTCTTGTCTTAGGCCTCCCCGAGTCGCTCCCCGCACTTCCCCCCTCGACTGCGCCACCGTGCACGCCTTGCGTCGAGGGCCGGCTCCGCTATGCCCCTCACTCCTCCTCGCTTTGCCCTGCTACTTCTCCCCTTCAGACCCTGCTCCTGGACGTTTGGGGCCCAGCCCCCGTCCCCGGACCGCGTGGTGAGCGCTACTTTCTTGTGCTCGTCGACGACTACACGCGCTACACAACGGTATTTCCCCTGGAGCGGAAGGCCGATGTGCCCGACGTTCTTCTCCCGTGGGTTGTGGCTGCGCGTCTTCACCGCGGTCTCCCTGTGTTGTGTCTCCACTCTGACCGTGGCGGCGAGTTCGCCTCTGGTCGGCTTGGACAGTTTTGTCGTGCGGAGGGCATCACCCAGTCGTACACCTTGCCGGACACGCCACAGCATAATGGGGTTGCTGAGCGCCGCATCGGCTTCGTCATGGAGGTTGCTCGTACCTCCATGATTCATGCCGATGCCCCCCATTTTTTGTGGCCGTTCGCTGTCTGCTACGCTGCTCACAAGCTTAACCTGTGGCCACGCTCCCAGCGGCCGCGGGTTTCGCGGACCGTTCTTTGGACCAAGTCCCCTGGTGACGCATCTGCGTTCCACGTCTGGGGTTGCCTTGCTCACGTTCGTGCCTTTGGCACGGACAAGCTCACTGCCCGCACTGTCCCCTGTGTCTTCCTCAGTTTCCCCCTGGACTCGTCTGACTGGCTGTTCTACCACCCGTAGTCTCACCGCTTCCTTCACTCTCGTGACGTCACCTTTGACGAGTCTGTCTCCTTCTACCGTTGCTTCCCTCACCGAAGTCTCCTAGTTCCCCCCCCCTTGTTCCTGGCTCCCTCTTTCCCGGTAGCCCCTGCTCCCCTCCCGCCTCGTCCTGCCCCGTCTGGTGTCTCCCATGTCACTCCCCTCCCGTCAGTTGTCCCCGTTGAGGAGTCTCCTGAATCTGGTGGTCCCCCCGGCCTGTCCTTCCCGCGTCCCCCTTCCCCAGTGTCTCCGCCTCCACTGTTGCACCCGCCGCCGTCGCAGCCACCGCCGCCGTCGCCGCCGCTGCCGCTCTTGGCCTCTGGGGGTGCTGGCGTTGAGGAGGGTGTTCGTTCTGCGTCCCCTGGCGTGGTCTGTCCCGCGGGCCTGGGGGTGCCGCCGGTGCTGGAGGGGGTTCTCGCTCTCGGGGTGCTACTGTTGAGTGTTCTCCCAGCGGCCGTCGTGCCCCTGCCGGTCCGCGGGTCGAGCACCAGCCGCCGCAGCAGCCGCCGCAGCCGTCGCCGCCGGTCTCCGCTCCTCGCCTGTTCGGCCTTCCCTCCCCCGACCGCTCGCCGGTGTCTCACCCACCACCTTCTCACCTTCCTGTCTCCGGCCCTGTGTTCCCACCGCCGGACTTGTCTCCGACCCGTCTTCCTCCTCGTTCCCCTTTTGTGTCCCCTCCGCTGTCTCCTGACCCTACACCTCCGTCCCACGTTTGGTCTCGCCGTCCGTGCCCGTGCTCGTCCCGTCTCTCCCGTCCTGTGCTCCCACCCTATGTTGCTCCCTTCCCAATCGTCTCGTCCTCCCCTCCTCCCATTGCCTCCTCCCTCATCGCTTGTTGTTGCACCTCCCCCGCTGTCTGACTACCTCTGTGCTGCTCGTCCCCTTGTCCCTCGGGTCCTTGCCTCTCTAGTCACTGACCCGTCTGTTCCTGTATCGCGCCTTAACGCGCTTGTCGCGGCTGTCGCTGCCTTCGCCTCTACCCGCCGCCTTGACTACGCTACCGCTCTGGTCTCTGACCTTGCCCGTCCTCCGTCCGTCGGGGGTTCACCTGCCCTTGGCAATGACGTTCTAGAGGACCGAGCTTGCTTTCCTTTCCGAGGCCACTCCCCATCTCTGCTCCATGCTCCTAGTCCCAGAGGGTGACCCAGATGCCTTCGACATCCCAACCCCTCGCACTTACGCTGAGGCCACCTCGGGACCTTGTGCCTCTCAGTGGATAGCTTCCATGGAGCAGGAGATGGCATCTTGGAGGTCCACCGGCACTTACGTCGACGCAGTTCCCCCACCTGGGGTGAACGTAGTCGATGGCTGGTGGCTCTTCAAGGTGAAGCGCCCCCCTGGAGAGCCACCTGTCTTCAAGGCGCACTACGTGGCCAGAGGCTTTAGCCAGCGCAAGGGGGTTGACTTCTTCCAGACCTTCGCCCCGACCCCGAAGATGACCACTCTTCGGGT